GTAGGGCTCACCAGTCAAGAGGCTGACGGTATCGACGTTCGCGGATAGTACAAAGTGTACTAACGCAAGATCTAATACCCACAACTTATATAGTATTCGCTCCGCATTGACCAAAAGCAAAGCAGAACGCCAGAATTGATAGTCCAAATTACGAGCTATATTTCAGGGCGAAATCGGAGTATGAGGTGATTGCTTGACCAGCTAGTGATCGTGCACGAACGGACGTGACACGACGACGTATCAAATGGCGTGGATGCTTGACCTGAAGCCTTCAGCTAAACAAGTTGACTTAAACAGTGGGGGTCAGCATTCAGCGTTCAGTGATGAATGCTGTGGCCAGTAGTCCGGAAGAGTTAGCTACAGCTACAAATTCGACTGTTCCACGAATACGTCTTTATGTCCTTTGTACTTTCAGATTCACTGAGTCACGCAAATATCAAAATACAAATCCTGACCTGTGAGTCTGTAAGATATTTATTATACATCTGTTAGGAAACAAAACATCATATTTATATATTTAATTTATCACAGTACAGTTGGCTCACAACCGTGGTAATGGACTGTTCTTATTGGCCCGAAATTTCTATTCTGATTGGTTGGTGGTCGAGAAAAGACCAAGGTGAGACAAAAGACGACGAATTGGTCACATACTAAACCACAATATCCTTGAGAAATGTTCGATTCCAAAGTAGCCCCATAACATGATAAATCACACGATTCGTGAGAAAGGATGACATACTATTTTATTCTGGGTTCTAAAAAAGCAAAGAGAAGTAAAAACTGAATGGTGGTGCCATTGGTACAATTCTTGTGATGGATATGCTTTGCTCAATTGACATCCACCTATGGCTATTGCGATTATGATTAGATATTTTATGTTTCTGTCCATTTATGTCTAGAGCTTCAGCTATTTGTATGCATCAATTAAATCTTCCCCCAAAATCAAGGCCACGTGAAAGCCATAGCAACTGTAATGGAATGTAAACCACCATAATGCCACTAAATAAGTTTCTTTTCTTCTTTTTCAGAAAGAAAAGCTGACGTGGCCTTACTGGAATAGGAGGAAGACCGTTTGTCAAGACTTGTTATAAATGATGACAATTAGCTCTGTACCCGGTTAATTCAAGCCTGGCTTGGTTCAAATTAACGTCTCTTCCTCCGTTGGTTGTGGCCGAGGTCCGTGTGTGTTACACAACACAGAAACAGGCGTCGTAGCGGGGATATGCAATGAAGCCACTCCTATTACTATGTGAAGAAAACGTGAGCTTTTTAGTGACTGAATTCGGCCGTGTAAATAATTTTAAGGATATATCGCGTGGGGTTGAATAACCTGACTCTAGGTGTTGACAAATGGAATATTTCCTCATCATATCCTCGCCTGTCATCAATTAATATTCTGGTTTCTGAAATACACTTTAATAACGTCCAGTGTAACCAGGTCAACAGAAGGATATGAAAGAGAAGATGGATACAGAGTGTGAACAGCGATAATTTACCATGGACGTATTGTCAAATTGTACCGTGGCTGGAGACATCAAAATGTCGATTGGTGAACTTGGATAGAAGACGTTCAATCACTTCTGCGAGTGTCATCCTAAACTGCATATTCTTTGGCTCATGATTGAGTTAGGAGCAGTTGGTTCCAATAAGCCTGCTACAATACTCACCACTTAAGTGTGTTACGTGATGGTTCTTTGATCGTTTATCGAATGCATCAGTAGAGAGAATCCTCTGGACTCTGGAACAGAGTGGATAAGGTGTCTCTTCCTATCCAGAGGTACCTAGCTATTGAATTTAGTGTACCAAACTGTAAACCGCACTGTCCTATGCCGTTCTCTCTCCTATCCAGTATAACAGCTGGGAATTGGTATGTGGAATTCAACTCTTCTTCGACAGTCAAAGAAATATATGATATCAAGCGTTATTTCTAGGTTTATACTGGCAAAGTAATTATCCCAGTCAGAGCTTCTCTAGATTGCTGGTAAGAATTACCAGTCGGCACTTCTACAGTCCCTATATCGAAAGTATACTGGAGAATTTTCAAGTGTGTGCCTAGTTATTAGTTGAAGAGGCAGAGCTCAGTACACTATGTTGCGATGGTCGTTGCCGAGTTTGTTTCCCACCTCTATCGAGAATGGCGCTATTATGTGGCAGAGGACTAAGTCGAGAATGTTGTTATGTTGATATGTATCCACATGATGTGTTTTGTTTTTGACAGTCTGTTATATTCTGCTGTGTATATGGATCGATATCCCATTATAACCGACAATATGCCTTTGTCTGTCCACTAAATAAACAATGTATGACCTTGTATCACATGACATTACAACCAATCATGGTAAGACGTTATCTTATTGGTTCATATGTATTAGCCATTTTCATATATACTCTTGCTTTATTACTTTCGTTCGTTCTGTTTTCCACGTTCGTACATCTAAGTACCCTTCCACTCACACACTTGTGTGACATTTATTTTCCTTGTCTGGAAAATACACGTATCATCGTAAAACTGGTGGTCTTCTGATTTCCCTCTTTCTGCGTCAGGACTATTAACTACTCGACGAGTACATAACAGATATCATGTTGGGGGCGTACCTGCTGATTCTATCCTCCTACATTTATAGCTTCCAGGAGCTCGTCATGGATTCTAGGTCCAGCGCAGGTATCCCAGTTCACTCCGGGGAGGTTGAAATCGCCACAAAGTAGTTAGCAGTCGAATCCCAGAGCAGGTATTTGCCCTAGAATTTCTCTGATAACCGTATCAGTCGTTTTAGGGCTGTGTATATACGTCCCATGGGAATTTTATTATCATTCGTGCGGATGCTTATCCACTCCTCTTCGATAACCAAAGACATAGACGCATGACAGCTACTAACGTTTTTGGGGAGTGCAACAGTTGTCATCAAGAAAAATAAAAGTGTCATCACCTCTAATACGTGTGGAAATGCGAGATAATTGCTTTCTCCAAGCTCAATATGAAGACAGTGGGTGCGCAGTGCCGATGACTCCCAAAGTGGGACGAAACAGTTTTCCATTACTCCTTTGTTTACAATGGTTCTGTAACTGATCTCTCTCTGTGATCAGATTTGAAATAAATCCTTACAAACTGACTCTTGGCAATAATAACGCTTGACAAATTCCAGTGTTATCCACTGATTCGATTCGCTGCGACGTCTTTTCACATATAAATATATAAGCTAACTAGTCATTTATGCTTTGAGATGTCACAAGTGGCCTTCATCTCTATGTGTATGTTCACAGGGGCATGATGGAAGGAAATGCAGGGAAACATGGAGGACATCATGTGAAGAGAATACGAAAGTGTATACTCAGTCCTACAACTAGGCGAAAGTGGTGAGAGCGCGCTACTGAAGCCCTATGTTCCACTCGAAACCTAAGGGGTAAATAGTTACCATGGATTAAATTTTAATGCCCGTTGTAGGATACACGGGATAGTAAAAGGTATACACTCATGTTAATTTTAGATAATATTCTATCGAACTGGAGGATCGTAAGTGTTAATAAGGAAGTGCAGTCGAACGGAGTGTTCATTTGAATAGTAGAATGTAACGGAAAATCGACCATACAAAACAATAAACTGAATTATATAAAGGTATTTATTGTTGATATTAAACACAGTGATAACCAATATGTTTGCAATAAATGACCAGCACCGAAAAAAAAAATCCATTTTATAAACAGTGAATATTAAGCGTAACTTCAAAAAATAATGCATCCATTCAGCTACATTATAAATCCGTCATAGATTTATTTGTACAAAATCTTATAAAAAGTGAGATTACCACTCATAATAAACTGACGAATCGTCAAGTAATTATCTGACAACCCTCGACACTAAAATTAAATTTCTTGTTTCTGTGTATGTCGAGTTCTTGTGACAAGAAAATCGATTTCAAGCTGCTAGTATTATAAAGAATAAGAGACTGGTGAAGACAGACTTTATGTTTATCTGCATAACATGCGATAGATATCGAGAAAACGATTATTTCTCGCCTTGATCTCACTATGTGCAAATAATACCAAGTATTCTGCACTAGATTTGGTACGTTTCTCGCCCTCTACTGTCTACTACAGGTTACACTCAGAGTTGTAACCATCCTGTCACATTTCTGCTTCATTGACTTTTCAGCCAGCACACAAATATTCGTTTTGTTTACGCATACGCCATTTGTATTTGCTTACAAGTGACATACTACAATGCAACTACAAAGCATACACATTAGGAGTCTTTCTACTGTATTCATGTCAGAAGTATGCCACTAAATAGGTGTGTACAGTAGAAATGAAGTCTTCGCTTTTCTCAAATTTTTCTTTTCTGGTATTAAATTTTACGTATTTAGTCTATAACTGATAGAAAGCCCCTGAACATTGTTGATATTTTCTATGACTTATTCTAACCAGTAATTAAGTACACAGCTTTGACATAAAGTTAAAGGAAAAACATTCCTTTTGCTGACCTATATGTTTTTTAATTCACGTTATATGAAGATTTTTCTATACGGATTAAACAAGTCTAAAGAAAATTTCACTGTTCAACAGCTTATGCCTATATAAACGAAAAACTAATGAAAATACTCCAATTTTTTTAACTCATATCTAATTGAGATTCTTGTTACTTTTAGGTACACATAGTGAGAAAGAGTAACGCAAAACTAGCGATGTATCTTATAGCATGAAAGGTTGATCAGTTAAATGATCATAATGAAAAAAATATAGGTGAGAAACAAAGAATACATATAGGTATGGGTATGCAGAGTCGTGATATCTCATATATTGTAATAGTTCACACTGAATAACAGTTGTATCATACTAGATATAAAATAAAGTCCGCTAAAATTTTCAATTCACAAGCGAGATGAAGGGGATGTAAGGAGTAAGATGATCTAAGTGATAGCATAGTGGGAGAACGCTTATCAGAAAATAGATAAAAGGATACACTGAGAGTTAAAGCAATAGATCTTCATGAATGTCCCGTTCATTTAGGTTAATGACAGAGCATTTTTCAGATAGTGAGAGATTTCCATCAGATGCATAGCTTTATTTCCAGCAGCAGCTGCAGCACTAGGTTGTCGACCAGCATACCTAAAAGGAGGTAACACATCAAGAAGGTATAATATTGTAAAAAGAATTGAGGAAAAAACACTAGAGCAAAACTAAAGAACAAAATGCAAGCCTGCCATATCACCATCAAATTCACCGATTTAATAAAAAGTGATACCATTATTTCACAAGTCAAACAAAACATAACGATTTCAGGAATATATAAGTGATACGCATGTGAAAACGTACACACATGAAACACAGATCAGTGTAACAGCTTGCATTAGGGGATAGAGGTTTAGAAGTTATAAATGTTGAACCTGCGATAGCAATGCATAAGTAACGCAATTAACGTCGCTGAACATGTTGCCTCAGAATATGAAGACAATTTAACGAAATAATTTCTAAATTACTAGACGTTACTCTAAAACTCTATTGCCTGGATAGATCATTTCATAGACTATGAGCCACATTTTTGTGAGCGCTAAATAAAACTACCCAGTTACCCATGCTGGGGATGGTGAGATTTTGAACCCATTAACCACTGGTCAGAAGTAGAATGCTATACACTCAATGAGCCAGGTCTCTACATTAAAAAAAACAACAACTTATGAAACCAAGAACCACATGTAACCATCATACAACATTATTGCTATGCCCCCTATATCAGTGCTACCAATGATTTTTTTGGTTTGCCTTCTAAATTGCTTCTATTTGTGGATAAAAAGCCTCTATCGATTCTCCCGCTTGAACAAACTGATACACAGAGTGAAAATCATTACGATCTATTGACCTTAGAATGTAATCGTCCAAATAAAGACATCAAAATCATTTTATCAGAAGTACACAGTGACTGCGTATCGGACAGACTATTTGCTAAAGCATAGTGTTAACTGATTAAGCCCCTTTTCAACAATGAACAAAGAGCAATCAGTGATACTGTATAATTACTTTTTTTAAATTGTAACTCTGTAAATCAATGAACTGTGCTCCGAAAACGTTAAATAGATGATTTTTAAGGGTGATTAGGACCACTAGGATATTTAAAAATCTGATATACATGAGGCAAATGGTCTCAAACTAAATCCTTCCAAATATCAGACTTATATTAAGTTTTAAATGTAAAAGAAAGTTAAATGAAGCTGTTAATTCTTATGGCCATTGTAAAATTGATGATATTGATATAGGAATCAAGTCCATGGTTACTCTTATTTATATGATGTTGAGTAAATTAGATCCGGATTTTCAACTCCAATGTAAAGTCAGTGCTACTATATGGATCAGAGACTTGGCGAGTCATAAAGAGCATCTCAAACAAACTTCAGACCTTCATTAACAACTGTCTTCGCTCAATACTCAAGATCAGATAGCCAGAAAAGATCAGCAACAGAGATCTCTGGCAATGAGCGAACCACCCCAGCAGGAACCGATTGTGAAACAAATAGGCAGGAAGAAATGGAGATGGATTGGATTGGCCATACTCTGAGGAAACCATCAAGTGACATCACTAGACAAGCCATCGCTCGAGTGGAACCCAAAAGGGAAGCGGGCGGCGAGTTGGTCGTCAGTGCAAGGGTGACTTGGAGGAGGTCATGCGAGGAGGAGATGAAAGCATGTGGACAGACCTGGAGCAGGGTGAAAAAGTTGTCAGAAAACCGAAGGCAATGGAGGTGCGCAGCTGAAGCCCTATGTTCCACTAGGAACTAAAGGATACAATAATAATAATTGTGAGAAATGGCGATAATTCCATGTTATATTTTAAGTACGACTTTTGGAATAAAGTAGATTATTATTATATGTAGAACAACAGAGACTTTTTAAATATGTCGATCACAGATTTTGTTCTTCGTTATTACTCCTCCTTTGTTTCACACCTCTGCTTACTGTATCTATTATGCTTTTCTTGTACTTTCTTCTCTTGCTTCGTGTGCTACATGGAGTGTGGCGACTTGAACTGCCGCACATTTGTGCAAAGTTCTATGTCGAAAACAGACAGACAGATTGAAGCCACACTAGAAACATTGGATGGAATTATTTAGACACACCACAAACCTAATAAATAAAAGAAATACGAGTAATTTTTTTTTTAAATGAATAAATTAAACCACTTTTGTAGTATTCATAAGTAAAAATTAATTACAAGAGGTTACGACTTCTAAAAATATACAAATCACTTTAGTTGACACTTCAAAACTTACAAAATACGATTATGATGACGATTCGGCATAGTCCTGTATATGAGATGATTTACTCTCGGTTGTACATAAGTCCATGCTCCCATATTTTTATGCTCCTCCTGCACCCACTGTACAGCAGCATCTGGATAACGTTCCAAATCTTGCTGAATCAAATCATACGGGAATGGTGTCAGTTGTTCAATTCTGCTGATAGCTATTTCTGACTCTCGATTAATGGACCTGCGCTCTTTATCTAACTCATAGTAGATCTAAGCAAGAAAAGTAGGAAATAATGTTGTAACACTGTTCTCGAACAACTGAGTATATAAAATTTAAGACTGCAAATACGAGTGTTTAAAAGCATTTGGTTAGAGAAGAGAGAGATGTAATGAATAATCATAAAATCCGTGGATTCAGCAAATATCCTGAGACTTTCCAACATAATATGATACTAAGGAATCAGTCCGCATCAAAATTGGAGTTTGTAGATAATGAGAACCGATCGACCAAACGCGTGTGTCAACCTGAATCATTCTAGGACCCACAAAATATTTGACTATCCCATCAAAGGATGAACGCCATGTTACGAAAATGTAAAAGGCGATCAAAGGTAACAGACATAAAATTAGATTGTTTTCAAGAACTGAACAGATATGGAAGAAGAACAAAGTGAGTAGTCCTGTGGACTATATTTAATCACTGCATTAGGAAGGTGAGTCAAACGGCACAGTGGTTAGGCTGTATCGAACGTGGTGACTGTAGTAAACATCGGGTATGATGAACAGTAGCCTGTCGAGGTAGAGAATATTAGATTAACATAAGATCAAGTTGGATTAGGATTAATGGTTCTCAAGCGAAGACCTAGCATCTGCATAACTACTGCTCTTAACTTTACAAGGAAGACTAGGCTAATTCAGATAAATTAGCTAGATGATAAGAATTCACATTTGAAGGAATCTTTGTATAGCATAGTTCACATTGATCGCAGTGGAATTTGTGCATATTTTCTTATCACCTTCGAAATGATGGGTATTTATTTTTATTTACCCTTCTTTTCAAAGTCCTACGTCTACTTATGCACACATTTGTTTCCATATTGTTCTATTTGTCTTGACTTCTTTCTTTGTAGCTGTGCACTGTGAACTCCTATATACTGTGCAAAATTCGATGCTTGTTTGCCTCTGACTTTTTTGGATGACAAATGAAACTGAATGGTACTACAGCCTAACCTTTAATGCCATATTTTCAGAACAATGAAAACGAAACATATTATAATAAATCAATATGCAAGTGCGATGCGAACGTACAATGATTGATACTTGAAAACAAATTGAAATATAAAGCCTTGTTTTATCTGTATTAAATTTCTTGTATGTTCAAAAAACTACACATTTTGAAAACAATAATAAACTAACACTTGAAAAGTAAGAGAGCAAAGTAACACACTTCATAGGAGATGGCCCAAGATGAAGTAGGTGTATTCTGTTAGGCATCATCTATTATGGTAATGAAAATTTTTTCAGATAATTCCCTTACTACTATTAAGAATACCAATTGAAGAATGGTCCTTGTCAGGTGATAAACAATAGATTTCTGAAGAAAAGTGTTTTTTCTAAAACAATTTACAACAAATAAAACCTGTGCCAAACACGTTGGCATAAATCAATATTGCAAAAGCGTCAATTTCTACCTTCTACAACACTATCAACGAAGCACATAATTTCGCATTCTCGATATCTGACATAGTAGTTACGTCATAATGCCGTTGTTTTGTGAAAAAAGGATAGAAAATTGGTAGCTTAATCACAATTTAAAATCTCACTGCTAGGATAGCATTCTTGACACCGTTCGGGGACATGGGCTTTCAGATAATGCACTTCACATTTTTGTTGCACACTAATAGCACAAAAAAAATCCTAGTTTGGGAATCATCGTAAAAACAAATCTAATTCTCACAAACTAACTCTTGAAAATTAATCTGATGCTCGCTAGTGACTTGCTACAGGACGGAGTTTCCTAGAGTTCTACTGAGATGTCGTGGTCAGTGAGCTCTATCCAGTCAAGTGTGAGGATGGATGGATGTCCCACCGATGACAATGGTTGGTGGTCGCGCTGAATCACAAATTAGTAGAAGTTACAGTTCATGCGCTGGTCAATGAATCGGGTCCCAGTGACTGAATGGTATACGAGCTTGCCTTGTAACTGGAAAGTCTTGGGTTTGAACCCCAGTGGGTGAGTACTGCCGATGGTTCCCAAATTAGGATGACAAAGCTGTCCAGTACTCCCTAGTTTTCAATAGTTCTCTAACTGATATCAATCCGTGATCAACTCGTAAAAACAAAACTAATCCTTACAAACCAACTATAAAAAACAAAAAGAATCAACACAAACAATTTAAAATCTTGAGCCTCATTAAATTCTATTACTCTACACGGAGTTATTATATAGATGCAGTGGGTCATGTAGATAACTCAGCAGGTTATTTTGTAAACAGCTGCATAAACACGTGATATAACAGTAGCAAGAATCAGTATCGAGAAATTGCTTTTAATTTGACACACATCGTAAACTACAGCTGTGCACGGACGTGTGGGTTTTGTGTACGATAAAGACGATCGTTGTCAAGGAGCAGCTAGTGCAGAAGTACTGATATGTTACATGATATTTTGAATCACTTTCTCTCCGATAGTGTCCTTTCAATCCACAACACATTGGGTAAACGAGTTTATCAATATTATTAACAAGCTAAATGCAAATATTCATAGCATGAAATTCTGATTGTTTTAGGTGGAACTGAAAGAAAAACGCTGGTTGATATAAAATAAGTGTATATTATCTAATTTGAAGGTATTTGAAATCAGCATCTTCGGCATCTCGTCAAAATGAAATGTTTAAACATGAACTGTGACATTATTCTTTCTTCCCAATGAAATGCATATCCAACATTCAGTGGTATAATTTACGTGCTCTTATTAAGACGTATTTTTGTACCAAAATGATGGGCAACAGATGACACTAATGGTTTATTATCAGATGTTTCTCAGCATCTTTTGGAAAAATGATGCTTTTCATTCTCCATAGAGCGTATAATAATTCTTTGGTACGTTTTATAAATTTTTTATACCAAAAAATCATCACTTGTACTCATGATTATTTTGACGATTTCCGGCTAAAGCAGTAACACAATACATTACTTTTGTGCAACGTTACTTCCGAAAAATCATATCTGTTTAATTGCAGAAACGTGCTCAGTGTTAAAGAATATAGCAAGTCTTATATTAATAATGATCAGTTAGCAGATACATTATCCTCTTAATGGTTTGCATAATTATACAAACTCTTATGCTTTACTTATTCGTATAAAATTTATACTAACCTGTTAGTTGAAAGAATTCCCTTCAACAATGATACAAACAGTAGAATGTCTCTTTTCTGCTCAGAATAAACTCAGTTGACAGAATGTCAGTTAACTGGCTTAAAATTCTCTTATCAAGAGCAGTTTTTATACTGTAAGGTAAATTTAGCCCCCAATACCACTAAAAACATGAAAGCTTGTAAATGAATAATGTCAACTTTAAATCGATGAGATAGATTTTTGCCTATGCTTTCATTGTTTTTTCCCTATTGATCATTTGTTCGCTAGCTATAGGAGTATGTAGACTAAGGAGTTATACAGTCTTCAACGGAAAGTTCCTGTCTAAGAGCAAAAAATCGCTTGATTTAACCTTTCATTTTGTTAAAGACTGTAGTGAAAAGCTACTCAAAACCTGATGTTTATAACAACAATAAAGCAGTTCGCGAATCTATGATGCAATCATATTGTGAATGTGAATGATAGATAATTCTTAACTTCATGAAAAGTAATCAAAATTGCAATACAAAGGCGTAAGTGATTTTATTTTAAACACAGCTACAGCGTAAATTAACTTCATGGGAGTTGAAGCAAGGAGCAACTTCAAAGTGCAACCTATACACACTATAATATCAAGTCAAACCTTTGATTTACAAAAAAAAAAAAAATACAAATTTCTCATCAGACACCACAAAAATAAAACCTCCCCAAGGTTTACTTTCTGTGTACAAACTGAACACAAATTCTGAACAACAGTTTGGGTATTTGTTGAATCACTATAATTATATTAACTATTATATCAACTATCCTTCGTTTATACGGTCTTCTAAAGGTTCACAAAGATGATGTCCCTCTGCGACCTGTATTGGATATGCTGAATTCACCGTATCACTCTACCGCTAAATGGCTTGCGGAAATTCTGGAACCAGTTAGATTAAATCTATGTAAACATAGTCTTTCCGACACTTTTGATTTCGAGAGTTGTGTTGATGAAATTAATGTGACTCGCAAGCATATGATTTCGTTAGATGTTTGTTCATTGTTCACAAATGTACCACTAGTAGACACAATCTGCTATCTATGCAAGTATATTGATTTAAATAGCATGAACATTGGCTTACCAACTGAATATCTTAAAGAACTATTATTGAGATGCACACTGAATGTGCAATTTAGATTTAATGAAGTCATCTACAATCAAAGGGATGGAGTCGCCAAGGCATCTCCTTTAGGACCGCTCTTAGCGGACGTCTTCATGGCGAGCTTAGAGAATGGCCCACTAAAGGAAACCATCGATAGTTTCTTTATGTATAAAAGATATAGTGATGATATCTTCATTGTATGTGATGAAAACTCTTCTACTGCCGAACTGCTTGGAATATTTAATGGTTCTCATCCATCTTTGCTTTTCACGGTCGAAGAAGAGTCGAATTCCTCGTTTCACTTCCCTGATGGCTGGATAGAAGAGAGAATGGTACGCTGTTAAGGTCGATTTACCGAAAGCCAACATTCACTGAGCAGTACACTAACTTGAACAGTTGGTACTTTTAGGGAGAAAGAGAAATCTTATTCATCCCTATGCTCCAGAATTCGTAGAATCTGGTCTGTAGATACAATCGATAGGGAACTAGATAACCTTTGATCAAATCTCCTTAACAATGGATATCGTACAAGGTTTATTGAACGTAACATCAAGAAAGAATCCATCCCTAGACAAATCACAGTGCCAAAGAAAAAACTGTTTATGAGTCTGGCATTCAGAGGTGACACCATTTCGGAATTGATTGAAAATCGTTTATCTAAATGTATTAAACGCACTTTTCCGGCAGCTGACTTGCAACTAGTTTTTACCAGCCGAAATATGATTAGACAATGCGTCAAGGATAGATTACCGCTTTTGTCCACATCTATGTGTATTTACTCTTTTACCTGCTCTGGTGGAGCGGTGTAAGCGTAATAACATTTTAATTACCGTTATTCTTATCACATATATATGTATATTGACTGAGCAATTATTCAGTGCCACTTAATAACCCTTTCCTGTAATATAAATACGACTGTACAGCTTGAAAATGAAGTCGTTGAAAAGAAATTTCTTCGCTGAACGAAAAAACTGTGCTTTTACTTATGAATTACAATAATCCAAATTTAGAATGTCATCCGTATCAAATACAATGCGACACGGAAAAAATCTCTGGGATTCCTCAACATTGATCAGTTCATGAGACTACTTATGTCAAACACCGAAACATATATATATATATATATATATATATATATATATATATAAATGAATAGTGAATATATGTGTAATCTATGTAACAGAACTCACTTTGCCACTGCAAATGATTAGTTTTTTAACACCCTCCGGTTTTTGAGAGGCTGGACCACTATCAGGGATGTAGCGTTTAAACTCTGAGCCTGGGAGCATATCGCTAAATGGTGATTTTGCTTCTGGATGACGTAACAGTGACTTCGGAGTGAAGACTATCAACTGAATTAAGACAACAGAATCTAATATAAGTGATGCAAAAAGTAAGATAAACATGTACAAAAAATATCGGTAAACCGAACATATCGGAAACCCACTGTACTACCAATTTAGAAGTCTCCCTGTCTGACAGCTATTAGTTAAACAAAAAATGACTTCTCAACAAGTCAGTGAGTAGGAGAATACATAAAGCTATACCATAGAGTAACAACTGAGTTAAGAGGAATAAACCAACCCTATTAATATTTTGATAATTTAGTTCCTATTACTTAATACAAACTTACATGTACACCACAAGGTTGTATTCTTTTTGCCTATATAAACTACGTTAAAGGAGTGAACACCTAGAATAATAAACATGTGATTCATTAACCATACGACAATTAACTTATAACCAGTTGCAGGAAATTTACTCCCAATGATTCAAATCCGATTTCCCATAAAAGATATCAGAGAAGCACGATCTCTTATTCTAAACCTTAGCAAAGAATGATCATAAATATAGCTACATAAAATTACTGACGTCCCCTTGTCTTAAAAAGGCTAAATAATTCTTTCCAACAGTCACACATGCACTGATAGCAGTGATATATGGAATATCACTTTTGAAGACTTCTTTATTTAAACATTGAAGTAATTAACAACAGGCTACTTTAAAAAATGGAAATCTCACATTTCTCATGTGGTAAAAACTGTCAATACCTAGTTTAAATACAATGAGTCGTGTAATTTGAGAATGTAACAGATCAAACTTTATAATCACTTACAGGTTTGCGGAAAGGCAGTAGAATTTGACGTCGTAAAATATGGAAGAAATTCGCTGGCGTAGTACAGTTTGCAATGATCCAATTTGTTTCATGCAATTGTTGCATAGTGAAGCTGTCACTATAAACCTTAGATAAAATCCATTTATGAAAATATGAAATACAATGATATAAAAATAATTTTTATTTATTTAAAATCAAATCATATATGATGTGATATGAACTCATGAAATGCTAAATCATCAGTCGAGACTTTTGTGTTCTTCAAGCATGGTACTATTAAGAATAAGAGTTGATATTTTGAGTGGACTGTTTTAGTAAAAATTGTTAATAAGCACATACACACACGCACACGTAAATACACGTTTATTTGCAAAGATATCGGGTGATATGAAAAATGTAATCAGTTAGCAACACATATTTGGGTCGATCTTTGGTTAGTTTTTAACACTGTAAAAGTACAGGATAATTAAAAAACAGAAGACAATTTGAAAATAGCTAAATTAAACGTATGAGTTCTTTGAAAAATTTCTTACTGTAGCAAGCTTTGCATTGTGGTGTATGAAAATCAGTCAAATAAGCTGAATTTAAGAATGTAAGGATGACATAGCATGGTGATAGCCAAGTTGTGAAATGTAGGGTGCTAAAAGGATGAATCTCGGCAGAGAACTCAGTGATAATATTTGGTTGCAAATCAATTAAATGATTAAAGCCGAAAATTTACAGATGTGAAAAATTGGGGATAAAGAGTCCCACACATGTATCGTCTCAATATGCTAGCAATTCTGAAAACCCTCACATATTATCCTATTTCGAGTATCCTGTGATAAAACAATTGTTCTGAGTTAATATCAAAAAACCGATACACCTACATGAATACCAAGTTTTAAATCCGACATAATATTTTGATACGAATAATTTGAGGAAAGCACCAGCTTTTGTCAACATTTATGAATTAGTCAATCACAATAAAAAGATGAAAACTGGTGCAGACTTAGGAGGAATTATACGCTTTGTTAGTGAAACAAAGTGGAATTCATGAGAGCAGAATAATACGAAAAAATATATAAACTTTGATTCTGGAAAATGAATACCGACACAATTGAGTAACATAAAGTGACACACCACAGACTGTCCTATAACCTTATTGATTAGATTTATAGCAAGTAAGTTCAACTCAGCAGTAGAATATAATGTGTGCCAGTGTGTGAATGGGGGCAAGTATTAGAACAAAATAAAATATGACTGAAGCAAAACAGATGGTAAATGTCCCAAAAACACCCAGTTAAATAGCACAAAGTTGTTTAGGATGTTAAATCATAAGTGCATTCACGTATAATAATAATACGTCTAACACATTTATGTCAGCTTTTAGTAAATAACAAACAAAAGATGAGAAAATATGAATGCTCCGATCACTTTTCATGAAATAACAATTAAAGTTTACTTATTTAGTATTCTTTGATGTCAAGCTTTCACGAAATCGATAATAAAATATTATTAGTTTTTTGTGGAGAAGAGAGAGAGAGAGACAGGGACAAAGAGCAAGAGATGTAAAAGTGAATATATAAGTACAGAAACGGTGTCTTATCAGTTAGAAAAAAGGCTTCACTACAGTAGGATTTAAAAAGTGTGCAGTCTAATAGACAGTGCACTGAAACTAACTTACTTTTGACGCCGACTAAACAAGACCATTTTTATGCAGCAGTGAAAAAGAAGAATAACAATTATAATAATACATAACGAACAACTAAGCAGTAGAAACAACGAAAAAAAGCAACTTTCAGTTAATTACAACATCAGCCTTAGGCGATTCATTTTTGCACTGAAAACAACGAGACGATGGTTTTGTAGTCGACACAGATCGTTTAAACAGCTAATATAACATTGATAAGAAAGCAATGATACTGTTTAAGGATTTGGTTACAGTGTGATTTAAATACACTGAACAAAGAAATATACATATACACACACACTTGGTTGAAATCAACAGATGTCAGTACTAACAGTGTATGATAACCTGGCAAGAGGTGAAGTTGACGTAATGTATAAATGCCAGCATACTATTTACCTAGTACTTTAATAACCAATACCAGTGACATAAAAGAGGAACAATAGAAGTAAAATCAATCGAAACTAAGGATTGATATTATCAATACAACGTACAATACTGACAAATAATTACTTAAACTAGGCAATACTATTCGTACAAGTTATTTTTCTTACAATCCTTAGTAATACTGACATCATCATTATCTTCGCTAAATTGTAGGTACAGTTTAGGATACAATTGAGAGAAAATACATTTAAACAAACGATAAAATATACTTACAGGTACATGATTTTCATCATCATTAGACATCAGGAGGAATCGTTCAATACGTGCACTAGAATGTTCAGGACCCATACCTTCATAGCCATGTGGAAGCAAGAGAACGATCCCTGACTGACGTACCCACTTTTGTTGTCCAGACGAAATAAATTGGTCGATAATACATTGAGCAGTGTTATTGAAATCGCCAAATTGGGCTTCCCACAAAACAAGAGAGTTGGGGTTAGTAAGCGAGTAACCCAATTCGAAACCCATAACCGCATATTCAGATAAACTGGAATTGCACACAGTAAATGGTGCTTGGGAAGGATACAGATGATTTAGTGGAACATATGTTTTTTTATCCACCTCCTATAAAAGATGATAGTATAGGAAAAAGTAACAGATAGTTAACGTTGATACTTAATATGCAGGTTTATTATTATTCTTTAAAAATTGATGGAAATATATCATAAGATTGATCAGTTTTTTCAAATCAAGATTATTCTACTTTATTTCGTTGATCCAGACGAGTCACTTATCTGCAGGTAGTCCAACAAATTTGGCTATAAATTGCCTAGCGACTTAAAGCCTTGTGTTTGAACTCATTTACCCAAATCACGATACCTTTAACATTCGATGGAAACGCTACGTGGACAACGTAAAATTGACAAGTAGTCTTGGGTACAAAACTATGGTGAAAAAATTACAAACTTTCAAAGAGAGAATTAGTTGAATCATGTGTTATGCAAGTCTACCATGTATCTACGTCGGCGTAATGTGTTCGTAAAATTAGAAGGGGAGGGTAGTACTAATCTATTAAATCACTGAGCGCTGAATAAGGCAGTGTAAGGAAATCCATATATAAATACAGGTGTGTTCAGCAAACGATCTGTATTCCGAAGAACACTCATTTTCTCGACGATCTTGCCTTGTAACCGAAGGATACTGGGTTCGAACTCCCATTGGGTGCGTACTGATGAAAACACCCAAACTGGGACGGGGCAACTGCTCAGTGCTCTCTCGTTTTCCACCGTTTCTCTTGATCAAAAGCCGTAACCAATAGAATCCCTGCAAATCAACACTTCCAAGTAGTCTTCAACACATACCACGAGAGAACTTGTGCAACAAAACTACGGAAGAAAAAGCAAACAAAAAAATCACTTGCTTTTACAACAATAAAAAATGTTTCACCTGATCGTGTAAGACACAATGCCGATGTGAAAATGTTCCACGTTCAACATCTTGACCGGATAGTCTGACATGAAAACCTTCCTTTAACAGTGATCCATAAGCAAAAAGTTCACCCAAAGCCCAATTGGCCATCTTTTGTTCAAGTAAATCTTTGCGTTCCTTGAGTGTCCGTTTTAAACCAGAATGAATTACCATGCCTTCAGGAGATTCGCTAATTGCACGACCTAAAAATAATAATCATATTACGGAAAAAATAGCCTAAAGAAGTGTAGGCAAAAAATTAAATTTCTCTCCGAAATGTTGACAGATATAATTTAATTTCTTTGTATTATCTCTTTAAAATGAGTAACACCTTAATGGCACAGGAAATCAGTCAAACTTGGCCACGTACATGTACACACACGGTGTACTATTTCATGGTGTTTAGAAGCATACTGATGATACACGGAGTTGAAAGTGAAATAAAAAGTGTAAGTTGATATTGTTCTATTCACGTTTTACAATTACCCATACACGAAAAAATCAGTGATCAGCTTAATATTTATGACATTGATAAGGTTATTCAAAACATCAAAAGTTCGGTTTTTCTTTTTTTAATTTAGTATGAGAACTCCTGTATGATTAGTAAAAATCCTAATTTACATGGTTCCAAGAAAAAGTTGCAACCACTAGCAAAATAGTATGGGCGACAGAAAACAACTATTTCTGCATCAATAAAATACAGGTCTTTCTCGCAAAACGTGTAACAGAAAGGATATTGTATAACACATTACATATATTTTACACATTGACGACGTCTTTAGTTTCTTTTAAGGTGACAGATAGAGGATTTTGTATCAGCATGTTACATGAGACCATAGACTGATTCGGCAGTCTGCTTATCAGAATTCACCTAATATAAATAAAGACTATCCGTCATACAGATGGATATTTGATTAGATCTCACAATTTCGTAAATGACTACTACAATGCTAGTTTCTATCTTTCCTTTTAAATATTCTTACAATGAATACACAAATCTACCCCGATCTGTCAGAGTGCACCTTCCATTATCATCGTGTGAGAATTCTACTTTATTGATTGCGAACACGGAAAAAGACTTAATAGTTTTAAAAAATAGTCTAAATATTTAGAGACAGTAATAAAAAAACTGCAGAACAATAAATAAGCATTCTATGAAAGATAACTACCACCATATGCTAGTGTACAAGGCTTCATTATATTGACAACACTGTCTCATAAAGTTTCAAGATATCTATCTCAAGTTAAACAGTAGATAAGCTTTTACTCTGGCAAGTCTTTCCTGTTTGTTCTCACAACGATTTGCTTCTTCAGTGATCGATAGAAGGGATTAACTAAAACCGATGAAAACTATTAATTTGTAGAATCTCATAAAAATAATTCTATAGAAGCATTCGGTTTGAGTCTGATCATCTTGTATACCAGTTAAAATATATTTTCCAAGCATCAAGTGAATTGAAAATAGGCATAGGTAGAATTTCGAGCGCACAATTGTTTTCGATAACTTCTTCTTCAGGCTCTACAGTTATAAATCCATGGATAATAGAGTACATATAGCTAATAAAGGCAAATGAAAGTAGTATTAGAAACTGTATTGGGGTGCATGTGTGAGTTGAGATGATAGTCTATTAGTTAGAATAGTCAATTTAATGTGTATAGGGTGTATAGTCAAAAAAAATGTGATGAAGTGTGAATGAACAGTTGGGTGATAAAGTGTTGTTTTATTGTCAACAGAATACAAGTGTCCTTGGGGTGAGAGAACAGCGATAACCACAAAATACATACAAATACACATTAACAAAGGGGACACTGAATGTGAGAGCTGTCCGATAATGTCTAATGATAAAATAAAGAGGATAAATTGTAAATTGTAATAAGATGTTACAGAATTGGTAGTCTTGGTATAAAATCATAAAGGTTGACAAGGTCACTTGTATTCTGTTAGCTATAAAACAGCACCATATCACCCAAATGTACATTCACAATTCATCACATTTTTCTGACTATATACCCTATACAAATTTGATTGACTATGCTACCTAATGGACTATCATCTCAACTCACACATGCACCCCAATACAGTTTCTGATACTACTTTCATTTGCCTATATTGGCTACTCTATTATTCATGGATTTATAACTGTAGAGCCTGAAGAAGAAGTTATCGAAAACAAAATCTTGTTTTGATTTCAATATGAAGATTTTTCATTTCCTATAGGTAGAATTCTCATACAATATGCTATAAATAAGTATTATTTGTATGACTGACTTACAAACCCAATATGGTTGTAATCCTTAGGGCTGAGGAATATTCAAGATGCGAAATCAAATTCAGTATGGGCAATTTATTTGTTATTTTCACTAACTATTACTTATGATTGGCATGAAACATACAATACCGCTCACATTTCTATGCTTCAGTATTTTATTCCGCTTTGAAAACTCTTTTGGTGTACAATCCCTGATCGGTTTTCATTTCAGAGGTTGTTTCGTGACAAATAACGGATGTTGGATTTTCGACTTGCATGTATGTGAAGCAGACAAAGACTGATAGCCTTAAATTTACAAAAATCTAGTATACCTAGTAAAAGATGTATAACACACTTCCAAAAAACAAGATCACAAATTAGTCATTGAACAAACTTTCTTTAGGCTGCTTCAGTGTTTAGTTGTTCAGAAACTTAGAAACGAGGTGAAATTATTCTACTATTTTCAAGTTTGTTTCTTTCGGTTAGATTACTCAGAACAGTAAACTCTACAAACACGAAGAAATATAATCAATTTCCAACAGTGATATACAAGCAGTGTGAACATTTAGAGAAATCCAGTCCATATGTTGAAAGACTAAATGGAAGTCTACTGCATACAGGCACTAGAAGCAAACTGAATTACAATATTTTAATTGACTAAAGATATGTAATAAAAATTTTCGGTAATCAAATAGTTTTGTTTAAATATCTTACCGATATGTTCTAAGACATCGCTTTCTACTCCCGTATCCGGTAATGACATTGGATCTTTATTTTCAAAGAAGTTGTGCCATGGAGAATCAATCCAAGCTCGATTATACGTAACCGTTTGTTTTTTGGCTAATTCGTATGCATCTTCACATATCTGATCGTACTTAGCTACTTCGTCCTGAAATCACATTGGAACACAAAAGTGTAGACCTTAAAATATATAAATGATAAATAAAAGAATCAAAAACTGTAGAATGTTTATCGAATTTCGATGACAGAATTCTAAGCTTGGTGTTTTTGAAGCTGATGGTATAAGAGACAGTATATTTTTTTTGATTTCCAAAGCATTCTTAGGAAGTTAAATATACCGACTTACATTACTAACAGAGAACAATTATGTATCAGTATTCGCAAAGAGATAAAACTGCTTGCCAGTCACAGCTATTCTGAGTTACAGGGATTTTAATTAGAGATTTAAGATGATCTAGTAACACAGTAAACTTGCACAAAATGTATGATACAGTTTTGGATCTGCATACAGGTTTATGAACGAAAGCTTATATATGTATAGTGTTAAATTGATGACTTGAGATTTGCTTGACAGTCAAGAAAAATGGGGCCCTACTACACAAAACACTAAAGTGCATTACCAGCATCTATAATATGGATTTATGAAGTGTTCGGGAATCAGAATGTATGACTTTATTTAAGATGGCCCACAGAAGTGACATTCAACTACATATATTATCTCGATATACGTGGATGACACTGTTTAGGGTTCTGATTTTAAGCTATGCGCGCCGGGCTATTCGAGTCCCTAATTCCGTGAAAATTGGCCATTTAAACACATACTCAGTAAAACAAATGTACCAAGATATGCACCAAACAAAATTATTATTGTTCCCTTGGGTTCCCAGTGGGATATAGGGCTTTAACTGCACCTCTCCACTTGCTTCTGTCTTCTGTTGTACTTTTCACCTGCATCCATGTTAGTCCATACTGTTTCAACTCCTCTTCACACGATCTCCTCCATGTCACCCTTGCACTGACGTCCCACTCGCCGCTTCCCTTTCGGCCTGGTTCTACTCGAGCAGTAGCCTGACGCGCGCGCGATGTCACCAACCGGCCTCCAGCCTCAGCGAGTGTCCAATCCATCTCCACTTACTCCTGCATATTTGTTGGTTGGCGATTGGTTCTTGCTCTGTTTCTTCCCATAGTTTCTTGTTGGTGATTCTTTCCGGCCCGGCCATCTGATCTTCAGTATAGAGCGAAGACAGTTGTTGATGAAGGTCTGCAACTGGCTGTTGGAAATATTCTTTGTGACCCGCCAAGTTTCTGATCCATATAGAAGAACTGACTGACTTCACGTTTGTATTGAAGGTCCGAATTTAGTTGTCGATGCTGAGTGACGAAGACTTTCAGATTGGTTTCAAACAAAATAACCCAGTGTAATTGTATAATGACTCAATCTGACTCGGCACTCAAATTATTCCAGGAAATTCGTGACATCTACGGTCTGGAAACTTATAATCTCATTAAAAATAAACCAATATAAATCTAAGAAGACAAGTATGATAGTTGAGAAACAGCGAAATGTACATGTAAGAATAACTATAGAGTTAATTTAGATTAGTCTTTTACTTCATTAGAAGGAAGAAGTCAACTGCGGTATGTTCAACTTGGATTTGCATTATGAGCCGTATTTGATAACATCTCGCGATAATGAATGGCATACACTCTCAAACTTCACAATATTTCCTAATGAATCCTAATAGTTGACTGGCACTGCCGACTACCGACGCCCAGTGCTGTTTACGGTCATCTCAGAGGCCTGTAGTCAGCTTGCTTTTGAGCAGCCTTCACATTTCATAATGTTCGGAATTCGACGGAATCAGCCTCCGTGTGTCTATCAATTTGGATGAAATAAAGGAGACCCACTAACATTTACCAACCTTTGATCTTAGATTATCAGCTGTTTTTACAACTGTTCATACGGTTAACTGAATATGATACAGGGCTTCCTCAGGATGGGTATTACTGTCAATTTCAGATGTGTGTTTAGTTATTTCTTCACATATGCTTTTCTGGCTGGTGCAGCTTGCATACTTCAATATTGAAATGACCCGCTAAAATGAATATAGATAATTGTTTTGCCTACCGTACCAAACTACACAACGCTTGACAGAAATCATCCTTTATTTTGTCTTAACTATAGTCAGCTGGCGCGTGAGATTATGCAAAGATGTCGAAGGGCACAGCAATCTTTCTTTCTCACAGATCTGTTCAACCGCATAGCACCGATACAACAGTCCACTAAAATCCAATCCATTAGTGAATTTTCTGCCTAAGCTCTCATTGCCACTCTTACGAAGGCAAGTTCACGCAAACTAAGTCAAAGAATCCTCTGATACAGGCTAGCTGACTTTCGCAGATTCACCCAATTAACCAGATGCGATTTATTGAATGACCACACTTGGGTTTTGTAGGCGTGTTTCCGAAACAAAGCATACATTCATAGCTCGAGGTTTCGCAGTTCTGGCTAGTGAAAACTTGTTGTCACATTGAGTAAGGGGAATTGCCTTTGGACGGTCCAATTATAAGTTGGGGGCTTGGTTGCAAGACACTAGTAGGGTTGCTTTTCTATCTCTGATCCTTACTAATGGCAGCAGAAATAGGAGAAAGTTGAGAACCTACCTGCAGGATAGTATTAACAGTGATAGAGAAGCAAGAAAGTGAGATTGGATAATTAGAAGCTTCTTGTGACTAGGGAAGTGCATGGACGGTCATAAATTCCCAGCTATACACACCAGAGAATTCAATTTCCTCACGAAATATTTGAAACAGAAGGAGCATTAGTGTTACCTGACAGCAGATACTCAGGGGACAACTGTTTAAGGCGGGTCACACATGGCCCGTCTGAAATGGTTTCTGGAGTTGTGTCCGTATGAAGATATTACCGCCAGCTACGGAAAACCTGCGAAGTAATTTGGGATGTACAATTTTCGCGACCAACGTTCTGTAATCGCCCTACCCATAGAGGGGAGGCAGCATGACCAATCTACTGCTTATCCGAGGAAAGCACGTTAATGCTATTATATCTCTATTCGCAGTCAAAACGACTTTGCCCTTAAATGCTTAGATCGGCTTACCATAATGATGACTGTTTTTAGTCCAACCGCTATTCAAACGATGTTTTGGCAAGGTAGGACCTGCAAGAACATCAGTTCTAGTTAGTACAGCTTGTTAGGTCATTGCCATAAGCACGGTAACAGCTGTTGGTTCGGAGTTACGTAAATAATATGTATGCTGAAATCAATTTACTATTTCACCATGCCAGCCACTCTAGAGCATACACACATTAACACTTATCTTAGAATATCTCAAGTAAACCACTGATCTTCAGATTACATCTTATTTGATAAATTATAGCAAGCTACTCAAAGGATAATCATATTTGACTTTGTAATAACAATGAGTATCCCTGCATAATGAACAAAAAGTCTGCAAGGTAAACAACAAACTCTTGAAACATTTGAACATTTTTCTTAGTCATTACCTTGTACTCTTGTTCAGTGACAATTCCTTCACTGATGAGTTTCTTACTATACTGTTCCAATACAGTGGGTTGTTCACGAATACGCTTGTACATGAGTGGTTGAGTAAACATCGGTTCATCCATTTCATTATGACCAGAACGACGATAACAAACTAGATCAATTACAACATCTTTACCAAACTCAGAACGCCACTCTGCTGCAACCCGTGCAACATGCATAACTGATTCTGGATCATCAGCATTAGCATGAAGAATGAGTGAATTTGTAACGCGTGCCACATCAGTACAATACGGTGAAGAACGAGCCATACGAGGATCAGTAGTAAAGCCGATCTGTGATAAAAAGGCAGATATAATTTTAAAACAGTTAAGCTAGAAGTATCAATAATGATTGAAAAATTAAACGTGATGTTTGTTGAATCTCCTCATGAATGCATTAACGACCAATAAAATTCAACTTTTTCGAATAATCACAAGATTAAACGTCTTATTGGACAATCATGTAGACAGATAAAGGTAAGACAATGTTAATCATTCTTAAATGAATCTGTGAGTTTTAAGAAATATATTCATTCCTTACAACCGTTAATCGGTAGATTAAATTTGCCATCTAGTAGACTTCGTTTAACTACAGCCAACGCTCGATAATGAAGATCAAATGGCCGGAGAGAATAAGCAACAAGGGGATCTGGTGGACAGCAAATCATCCAAAAATCTATTACACAACAAAATATGCAGAAGGAAATATGCATTAGACTTATGGTGAGGAGACCTCCATACCACGCAGTCAAGTCGAACCCGAATGAAGAGCGACGCATTAGGTGTCTGAAGGTGACATGAAGAAGAATGATATGAGGAAAAATGAGCGCTTATGGGCAGTTGTGGAACCAGTTGGGAGTTATAGCAGAGAAACGAGTAGAATGGAGATGTTCCACTGAAGCCAAATGTTACATTAAACTCGAAATGCAAGAAATGAATAATAACTGGAGCTCTTAATGTTCAATTTAATTAGCAGCTGATTTGTTTTTAAATCAACGGACCTTCGCTCACGTACTCTAACAACACGGATACACAAAAAAGTGACTATTAAACCTGAAGTCAAAATGTTAAAAATGAACTTAAAGCCTGTTACTGGTAGAACATGCATGTCTCCTCATAATGATTTAATTGGATATAGTGTCCTTTGGGTATTCTCCAAAAACCAACAATTGAAAAAATTATAATGATGAATATATTTTATATGACGGCCTGAACGTGTATACAAGCCTAGTCTGTCTGTTTTCAACATAGAACTTTGCACAAATGTGCGACAGTTCAAGTCGCCACACTCCAAGTAGCACCCGAAGCAAGAGAAGAAATGACAAGAAAAGCATAATAGAGATAGTAAACAGAGGTGTGAGACAAAGGAGTAATAACGAAGGACAAAACAGTTTCATTGGAGATCATAAGTCACAAGAAGTGGATGCATCTGAGCCACTAAGAACGATTTTGAGCCATATCACCAATTGTTTCCAACCATAGATTTTTACCGTCCCGAGGACCCCAGCCTGGAAGTCTACACCTCCCTACATGGCTTAGACCAACTGTTGTGGATTTCATTGACTGGTGCCATGTTTTTGTTTGACCGCCGCTAGCTTTTTTCCAGCCTGACCCTACATCCGCTAACATTGTTCGTCGAGGGAGGCGATGACTTGGCATACGTAACACATGCCCTAACCATCTCAGACTTTGTAATTTCACGACTTCGTCGATTGATTTCCTCTGTTTACAGAGCACTCGACGCCTAACCTCCATGTTGCTCACCTTATTATGCCACTTTACACGGGAAATAGAGCCCAGGCACCTATGATCAAAGACAGCTAATCTTTTCATGTCTTCCACTCTCAGTAGCCAGGTCTCACAATCATAAAGGAGGACGGAGCGGACTGATGAGCAGTACACCCGCCCTTTGGTCGATAGTCAAACATCTCGTCTACGCCAGAGTCGGCGTAAACTGGCAAATGCGAAACGAGCCCCCTGTATCCGTGATGAGATTTCGTCAGAGATCAACCCGTTGGGGCTGATGGTACTTCCCAAATAAGTGAAGTGGTCAACGTGCTCTACCACTTCACTCCCTATTTCTAAGTTAAGAGTCAGTGTGGTCCTGTCCTAAAACATCATCTTGCATTTGGCGGGAGCGAATTGCGTGCCAAACATTTGCGGATTGCAACTTAAGGTGTTCAGAAGACTGTGCATTTTGTTAGCGTCTTTACTTAGCAGGGAGGACTATGTCGTCCGCATATTCTAAGTCAACGGGATTATTCCCTGTTAGCAATTCAATCCCTGAGTCGCTGAAGTCACTTAGGGTTAAGTCCATTAACACATCTATGATGAAGTTGGATAGAATAGGGGATAATGGGCATCCTTGACGGACACCACTAGTCGTCATCACTTCAGATGACAACTCGCCGTAAGCCCTCACCTTGCTGCATCAGTACGAGTAGAGTGCCTTAATCAGTGAAATGTATTTTCTCGGGATTCCCTTTACAGTCAAGCATCGCCAGAGAACCTCTCGGTCGACAGAATCGAATTCCGCCTTTAGGTCAAGAAATATAATGATTGTTGGACGCCGGTAGGAATGCCTATGTTCTAGAATCTGTCGGAGGGTGAAGATATGATCAATACACCCTCTTCCTGGTCTAAAGCCTGCCTGGTTCTCTCGTGTTTGTGCCTCCCGAGCACCACTCAGTCTACGCATCATTATTGAGCCTAGGGCTTTAGATACTATATTAGTCAAGCTAATCCCTCTGTGATTATCACAGGAAGACTTGTCTCCCTTCTTGTATATCGGGATGATCAGTGACTTACACCAGCCCGATGGGACTTCTTCTGATTCCCAGACGCTGCCTAGAACCTCAGTTAATGCAGACAGTAAACTGTCTCCACCGTACTTAAATACCTCTGGAGTGATTCCATCAGGTCCCGCTGCTTTGCCTAGTTTCAGATTGGTGACAGCTTTAGTAACCTCATACCTAGTAAATTCATCCAAATTCACAACGCAATATTGATCAAAACATTATGCTGAATACCCGAAATTGGCCTACGAGAGCGGACTTTTCTTCCGCTGGATATATATTTGGTGCCGATAATCAGTTTAGTAAGTGGTAGCACATTTAATAAAATCAAAAGATGCAAAAGGGAATATTTATAACCTACTTCCTAACTAGCAGTTATAGTGACAAGTATTTTTAGTACTTTTGCGTATATTAAGCGGGGATAAAAATTCTTATGTAACTTTCAGAGTGGATAAGGCTTGATGATTCAGTGATATTCTGCTTATCTATATGCGCATTACAGTATAAACCATAGGTGCCATTTTAAGGTTAATGACGCTGCTTGTTTGTTATAATCTGGCTAGGTGACATGGGATTTGAACTCGCGATCAGCTGGTTAAAAAATCAAATCCCTAAGCCAGTGGATTATACCCAATATTTGGAGGTGTTTTAGCCTGAGTTAAGTGAGATGAGATCCTAACACACATATGAAGGAATGTGATTGTTCTTTTAAGTATGAATAACCGGCAGCGTCTACGACCTGTCGCATTTGTATTTGAAATAAAGAAACACAATTAGTGTACTAAAGAGTGATAATTCATTACTTCAAAATAATTTTTAGTATATCACTTGAAGATATTTTAAGTTTTGTACCCCACAAAAACAATTATACGTTTCAATATAGCCGAAAATTCCGATTAGTATATTACCTCGCTTAATCCCTTTGTCCTCTAATTATACATTTTTATAGAGTCGACCACTTTCGTTGATAAAATGGATTGTACGAATACCTGCCTACATAGTAGGTAGTTGCAATGTACACACCCAAAAGAAGCAATTTGACAAAATGTGAATAACAATTAAACTGAATAAATTTAAGGTGGTTTTCGGGATAAATCTACTAATTATTTAAAACTATTTTTACTGTGAAAAATAAGGTGATGTAAATCCTTACGCAGGCAGAGACGAGAAAGAATGAGCGTAAAATGTCGTTTCGCATATGAACTTCTATTCAGTATAGTACTTTTATACACTACTTACCTTGACCTACATACAGGTATTTAAAACGAATAAATAGTAGAAATCTGTATTCCGTGTTAGCAAAGTGAAAGAAGTTGTGGAAGGAACGTGAAGTATACTGACTTTTTCATGATTGCGTTTACTACAGATGTGGCTAGTTGGTAAGCGAATTTCATCTATTTTTGTAATAGATGAAGATATCTTCGCGACAGTGAAAAGATGAGTATAAGTTCATGCGTCTGTTAGTTTATTCAGAACTTGGCCTATAGCCTTAGATGTGACTGATTGGCTAGAGAACTCGACTTTTGGTTAGTTAGTTTGAATTCTATATCGCCTACTTCAGCCATGAAAACTGTGTCGTATCACACAATAAGTGTGGCTCATAGCCTATGACGTGAAAAACCTGTTCCGAGTAACTGACTTTAAACAACATTCAACAGTCAAAACACAAGACATCCAAAATAAAAACCGGCTTTAATTCGTATATGACATTGTGAAGGACTCTGATTCATGAAGAATCTAAAACTATCGGTTGTCTGTATTTCGTCAGTGAGATTTGCATCATATCGCTTAATAGATTCTACATACTGTGGAACTTTATAAAGGACAGAATGACTTAAAATTGTTTTGAAAGATGAGAATAGTTACCGATAAAGTCAGCAGTCATTCTTGTTTTGTGGAGTGTCAGTTACACTTCGGGCATTTCTTTGGGATATTCTAACTTCGTGCCCATAGTCACGGGTGTGATAATGTACAGAAACAGATTGTAAAATTGATGACAAAGTGAAGTTCCGAAATTAAGGTTGGTGAGATTACATGAGCAAATTTAAGTGGGAAGTAGCTAAACCCTCGGAAACCTATGTACCTGAGTTGTGTTTAATGGCGTCGGTATACGGCGTAACCTGTGACGGTGTCGAAGCTTTTACTCGACTGGATCCCCATTATCAGTTGTGTATGTGCTTTGGGAATGGAAAGTTAGGCCAGAGTAAGAAGCGATGGGTCAGAAAGGCAATGCCCACTATTGATCTCTGCCTATGCACCAACAGGTTGCGACCCAGATGTAATTAAGGATAAGTTTTACTATCAACTGAGTGAGCTTCTGATGCACGCGTGTCAAGAAGTATTGTAGTGCTGGCTGGGTACTTGGATGCACAGGTTGGGTGACTAGACTCACCGAAGAGTTACTCTTTTCGGCAATATCATTTTCAAGCTGTACAATTGTATATACAGTTACTTTTCTTAGAAGCAAAATGAATATTTCAAAGATTTGTCATTAGAACTGTAAATTTTGGATGACAAATGACGTAATGTAGAAAGCGTTGGTCGGGTACAGACTAGAAAAAAATTATTAGATATTCAAGTGTTGGTTTGTAAGGATCTGATTGGTTACAGGATTTCATCATGAGCTGACATTAGTTAGAGAACCATTGGGAAACCTGGGAGTACTGGGCAGCTGTTTCGTCCTAGTTACTTCCGCAAAATATCGAACTGAGTCAAACATAAAGACAGCTAGCAACCCTCTAAAAAGCATTGATGAAAGTTGGCTACAAGATGTCATGAAAATGGCGAGTAAATCCGCGTATGGGTTAAATCAGTGCTTTGCTAAAAACCATTGGATTTCGGCGAGTTTCTTGTAACTCCTAGAGACTCCCATTAGATACGCTTTGTTAACCAGTAAAAACAAGCGAGAAATTGAAATCTGAAGTTTCCTGAATGGGCAAGATATCTGGAATCAGTACTTAATTTATGATTCGTTTTTATCATTATTGAAATTATTGTAGTTCTTGATGATGGTAACTTGGTCGCAAATGGTTGCACGTAACAACAGTTTTCAATTATCGTTTAGTCACTCATAATACACTAATCAGAAACGAAGTTACAACGTAATGGCATAACAGTGGTGATGAAAGTATAGTCTATAGTGCAGTCTAAAAATAGTGAAAAATAAGATATAATCATGATTTCATAGTATAAGGTTGTTTATAAATTCGAACTACTAAGCATTGGTTTTATCAAGTTGTCATTTCACAGTCGACTTACCTGATTATTCACAACTATGTGGATCGAACCCTTGGTAGTATAAGAAGGCAGATCACTTAGATGGAAGGTTTCATAAACAACACCTTGACCACTGAATGCGGCATCACCATGTATTAAGATGGACATAACTTTCTTCCCATCCGTATCACCTCTGGAGTATAGGAAAACAGTACATTCGAAGTTATAGAAAATCTGTCTCATAAACCATAAAAACTTTTAATACAGAAATATAGTGAGCGAAACAACCGTTATTTAAGAAGTAGGTTTAACGTATCATACTGCTACTTTTCGTGTAAGTGTAAATTTACTTGATTCCTGTAAGAAAATTGAAATATTGATTGTAAAATGTTAAAAATTTACTAATGTGACTCCCTACTGCAAGTTTAACCGATGTTTGAGGTACGCTAACAGAGTTTTAAGTTGATGATAGTAGACGACCATCAAATATCACACACGCAAAATACGGCAATTTCGTTAGGCAAAGAGGTGTTTATAAAAACAATCAACTAAAATGAGTGAAAATGAAGGCTGATAGGGGTATGTTCTTAAAGTATGTTATGATGATACTGATTCAAGTTGTTAGAAAATCTTACCGATAAAATTGTTCAGCTTTAGTTTTACCCTGAGCAACAGGACAAACTGCTTCCAAGTGACTTGGATTTGCACATACTGCAAGGTTAATCATTTTACCGGTCATATGATTCAAACGTTGATGGCTCATGCCAAGATGATACTTTACATCACCACTGCCTTCATCACACGCTTCTAATTTAGAATCAAATTGACAAAATATGTCGTCCAAGGGCTTGCGACAAACATTAGCCAGAACGTTCAATCTTCCACTAAAAATACAAAGTTTGTAATACACTAAAAATCAGTCAAAAAAGGTATTATCGGTTAATACTACTGAAAAAAAACGCTCATAGAAATGAATAAGATGCGGTGCATAGTGAAGCAATATAATGAGCGACGGAACCAGTTTTACAGATGATGATGATGATGATTACACAATCTAATCCTTTAACAGTCGATTGCAGATTCCAGCAACAAGAATCTCATCTTAAAAGGTGTACTTGAAACAACAGGCTAACTGTACGCATTTCAAATTTAGTAAACAAAGAAGCTTTGATAAAAATGATTAGCTGAATATTTTGCATGTAAGACAATTAAGTTTCAAGATATGTATACATGAACCTATTGATAGAACTAATTTAGGAAAATAACACATTTTACAGCAAGTTATTAGTCTGACTTTTCTATCACATTCTTCATGCAAATGTCTTATAACAGTGGATTTGTTGATTAGTGTTACTTTTAAGTTTCATGACCTAAATCCTGTGAAATGCTACTACTTAAGGAGACTTAGAGAAGTCAGAACTAAGATTTTGACATTGTCCCATATAAGATCGAGGAGTGAAATGGTTGAGCGTATTATTCACTTTACAGATTGCTGACAGAATCTCGACTCATATACAAAAGGTTGCTCTGACACTAGCCAACTTGCGTCATTCCTAGTCTAGACATGATATCTGGCAGTTGGTCAAAGGACATGTGTGCTGTGCAACTGCTTGCTGTGTTCTACTTTACTCGTCAAGCTGTGTCGACTGAGATGACAGTGACACGTGCTACGCATACCCAGCCATTGCATTCTTAGTTAGGCAATTTTGGCCGGCATACGACTAGCTTGGAAAAGAGTTAAGAGCGGTCAAATCAGAAGAAAGCATCGGTCAAATTAAGTCTTTGTCTGTCTGTTTTCGACATAGAACTTTGCACATATGTGCGGCAGTTCAAGTCGCCACATTCCCTCCTCGTAGCACACAAAGCAAGAGAAGAAATGCATACTAGAGACAGTAAACAGAAGTGTGAGACAAAGGAATAGTAGTAACGAAGAACAAAATAGTTTCATTGGAAATCATAAGTCACAAGAAGTGGATGCATCTGCGCCATTGAGAACGATTTCGAGCCATGTCACCAATTGTTTCCAACCATTGGTTTTTACCGTCCCGAGAACCCCAACCGGGAAGTCTACACCTACCTTAGTCTTTGACCGTTGGTTTGTGCTACATAGAGGTGTAGACTGTCTCGTCGGCGACCCGACAAAATAAGAAGCAATGGCTGAAGACTGTTGGTCACATGACTAAAAATCATTCGCAACGGCGGAGAGGTATTCACTCTTTATGACCATCATATGCACTATATTTTAATTATTCTCCAAGCAATTAATTTTTCTTCATTGCTCTTCCATTTAATAGGGTTTCCTTGGATTCCTTCTATTATTCTACCTTCAGGTGTGCTTTTAAGGAATGTGGCAACTTGAGCTGCTGCATTTTTGTGTAAAAATGCATAATGTAAATGCAGTTGTTCCATTCCACATGAACTTGACAAAGCGTACCTGCAGAAAGATTTATTATTCATTCCATAGTGACCTACTAAGCAATTTAAGGAACATAAATTGTTGAAAAATCTCGCAAAACAAAAAGTGCAAACCAACAAACCGATGAGGTATCCCAATAACGAAACTTTCAACACCAAGGGCAGATGAAGAGTCGATAACAGCTTTCATCGCTGGAATTAATACTTCACATCCTTCAAGTCCAAAACGTTTTTCCGAACTCCATTTTTTCGCTAAAAACGACTCGAACCTTGTTGAGCGAATAAGACGGGCTAGTAACAAGCGTTTCTCTTCTGGAGTAAAGCTCAGCGAACCAGGTGTTTCAAATTTTCGTCTTATCCAATCACATTTGTTCAAGCTGTTGATAAACATATACTCAATACCAATGTGCTTGCAGTAAACATCCTGAAACCATTAAAGATATACAGTAAAAAGATCTTAACCTAACATCACAAAGACAACTATATGCACAAAAATTTACTGGTATTGCACATATTTCAGTTTCTATGGTCATAAATTTAGTCTGTCTCAGTGAAGCTGGACATGTGGTAAACATGCTTATACTACTTAGTCATTAAAACACGAATGACAATAGAGAAAGCTCAAAAACTGGAGTTTTAAATGTTGCAGATTCTACCAAAGAGTAATTCGTTCGCAAAACTGTGGTTTGAATACTAGCAGCAAGCTTGACAAGAATCAACGCGACAAAAAAGACTGTCATCATCCACATGACTGAAAGTGATACGTATCCAAATATTAACTGATGACGTTTCGAGCACAAATTATTGCTCACAATCACATCAAGGTACTCACTCAACTTTTTGCTTCATTTATATGCATGAGTAAAAATTGACTAGACATTTGATGAATAAAATCAGCATAACATAATGTATATTCAGAAACAGTATGTGTTACCAATAAAATACAATCGGATGAAAAATAAGATGTTTTTATAGTAAAACAAATAAATAACTTGTTAGAATGTTATAATGTGAATTGAGTACATGTTAACATATATTATTCTCCAATTTGACTGGTAATAATATCCTCCATATCTCTGGTATTTGTGTTGGATCACTTCTGTTGCACGTGTTGGGTGTAGACTCGATGAACGAGGATTCAGTAATCAACCTCTCCACCTTCCTATATTACTTTTTAGGATTTTAACTCTCTCCCATCCTATTGTGTAGTCGTGTGTTATTGCATGCAGTGCTGTAGCTGAGGTTTTTTTTTCTAAATTACTTATCTTCGTGGGATCAGCTCAGCTATAGCACTGCTTGTATCAACACACAACCACACAATAGGATGGGACAGAGTTAAAATCCTAAAAAGTAATATAGGAAGGTGGAGAGAGAGGTTGATTACTGAATCCTCGTTCATCGAGTCTACATGCAACATAAATGACTCAACGCAAATACCAGAGATATGCAAGATATTAATACCAGTCAAATTAGATGATGAAAAATAATGTTAAAATGTATTCAATTCACATTATAACATTCTAACAAGTTATTTATTTGTTTTACTATAAAAACATCTTATTTTTCATCCGATTGTATTTTATTGGTAACACATACTGTTTCTGAATATACATTATGTTATGCTGATTTTATTCATCAAATGTCTAGTCAATTTTTACTCATGCATATAAATGAAGCAAAAAGTTGAGTGAGTACCTTGATGTGATTGTGAGCAATAATTTGTGCTCATACAACACTGTGTGATTTATCAAAATAAAATCTTATCCATAATGGAGTTATACTCTCCATTTTGGATAAGATTTTATTTTGTGTGCTACATGGAGTGTGGCGACTCGAACTGCCGCATATCGGTGCTCAGTTCTATGTCGAAAACAGACAGAAAGACAAGAGTTATATTCTACCACAATGCCCAGGCTTTATACTTATATCGGTGAAACGTATCCAAAGTTATATTTTGAAAATCAAGTATTTAAACAACGATCCATCAACGACCGCATCGTATAAGTTGTACAAGCACAGAAGTTTAATTATTTGAATCATAATCCCGTATTAAAAACTACCTACTGAAACTTGAGATAGAGGGGTAGTAAAATCAACACCAGCACAATAGGTGTGCCTCGTTAATTGAATATGAACATTCACAAGATTGTCTAATCACAATATTTACTTATAACTATTTACATTATATGAGATATATTCTTAAGGGACTTTCTCCTTATTTGTGTTGCACATAGAACCATTTCAAAACAGCCAAATGAAATCACTTTTGTATTTTAATCCCAAGATACATCACTGAAAACGTGAAGAAAGTGAACGAAAATCAGCACATAGTCTCGACAAGAATTTTTAAAGTTCCTACTAAAGCAGACTTACCTCTAAACGTCTGATTATTTCACGCAGAGTAAGTTCTTGTTTATCGCCTCCAATGTGGGTGGTAGGTGGCAGTCTAAATGTCTTATCCAAGTCAGGCTCTCCTGCACACCAAAAGAAATAATAATAATTGCCAACTAAGAATTTAAAATGGAAGCCTGAAAATCAATACATGCCCACAACATGCACCTACAATAACGCTTAGAGAAAGATACAACAAACTGGCAGCTACAACACAGTTACAAGTAGCAACCAACATTTAAACAAGACAGTATTTCAGAAATTCGTTTAATTTTCCCTCCGAACTAATACAATGAGACAGGAAGGTCAAGACATGCGACTCAACCGCGAATATATCAGTTAGGCTTGTGGACAAAGCTGGAGCTAACAGTTGCGCGACTCGGAATTACGAAGCAGCAGATCAGTTAGCACCATGTGCTTGAATGTAGTCACTAGGCCTAACCCATGCTTCACAAAAGTGGTCTGACTGTATACAAGGACTATTTGACTCACTGATTTACAAACATTCAATCTCATAGTCAAATAAATACTACACGCATCTTCAGATCACAAATAGTATACTGAAAAATAATACATAGTTTAACATCACTACCGATATTAACAGAAAACTGTGTAAACACAACTCCAAACGAAATCACAAATGAGAACTGAACAACGCTAACCTTCTAGACCAACAAAACTTACGTCTTTCACCTAGGAACCTTTGGTAGACAATATATCTGGCTACGCCGGGTTCTGGTGAAGTAATACCTAGTGGATCTAAATCCGCCGCAAGATGACCGCGCACCTGATACGTATATGAGACACGCAAAGAATGAAGACAAAAATCAAGGAACAATTTTAAAATTTTTAAGTAAAGTGTATTCCTATAACCAACCTACCAAGCTTGTAGAAGCCCAAAGATAACTCAGGGGGTATTGAGTCGTCCAAATCTGCAGATAATATCCCCAGTGGGTCAAGATTGGCGATCCGATGACCTAGAGACTGAATAACGCTTCAAATATTTTATCAAGCACTAACACAATTCATGACAATTATGACTAGCATTGCTAAAAAAATAATTAGACTCACTGAAAGGTAATTTTTAACAATGAAGAGCATATGAATAAGTAAATTTCAACATTCACCACACCAAGAACTGATCTGTTTGCTGAGCATTTATTCGTTAAAGAAATACGTATGCTGAAAGTTATAAAGCTTACAAATTACACTGGTAACCTTTTGGGTCGTATTACCATCAATCCAGGAGTAAAACGAGGTAAAAAGAATACACCCACCACGTAAAGTATACTTTTAGAGGTTTAAATAACCTACCATGTGTCGCTAATCGACCATGGTTGGTATACGAATAACAAAATTTATCGCAGTAAATATACGGATATTTAACCAACACTTAAATGATCCCGAGTGTAATTCTTATCTGATAAAAAGTCACAACACCATAATATTCAACTCTAAAATGAAATTCTAATATGCTTAGTGACACTCTTGAACGAAATAAACTTATTTATTATACCTAGCATGAACTGTGTGTACATTGAGAATTAGTTGGTGTGTGAGGGGGTTCTCGTATGTCACTTAGTTTTTAGGTACCTATAATTATAGCATGTGCCTTAAACCGTCTAAGTGGAAGATACTTTTGCGAGATTGGCACGAGCCTGTGACTGCAAATGGATGTCAAAAGTAGCTGGAAAGTTAGTGTACTTAGATAGCTAAAACCAAACAGGGTTTCTAGTCCTGTTTCATAACACGGAAAGTTGTGCACCAATTCGGGTTACAAGTATGCAAATTTCGTTTGTCTCAATTTACTTTAACGGCACATTGAAAATACTCATAAAAAGTTAGTGGGCAGAAGAATTATGATTAGCATTCTGATACAAATATTCGGCTACAAACACCTGCGATTCCCTCACACTTTTCGGCGTCATTATGTACAGCAATAAAATTGCATACAAACTGAGACCTACAGAATCAATCTTTCTGTATTTGCCTAAGCAATCCTAGTGTTAAAAGACGTAAACACGCATTACAGACCTCCAACATTGATTACAAATGGATGCCTATCACTTCAGAAACGGTTTGCTTCTAATAAGCACATCTATTTAAAAGGTTTAGAATTTATTTCACCCAAAGTTTTGCCATGACATCGAAATAAATCATGTTCTTGAAGACATCTCCCACTGGTACAATGCTAAAGCAGATTTATTCACGAAAACCCGATTAACCAAGCAGAAGGATGGCATTCACTCAAAAAAGGGGAAAAACGCTACAAAAATTTTCAACAATGTGAGACTTTTGACTAACTTGATAAGATCGGATTATAGCCTGAACCGAAAGGTGATCCTCGATGGATTTCAAACTTAGACTCGTTGCCTGCCCAGCTACTTGAGATGAAGACAAATGGGCTAATTTCAGATCCTCTTTACCCAGTGTAGGTGGTTTGACGTAAGCTTCTCCGGGGCAGCTCCAGAAGCCACACATCTGAAATAAATATCCCAAGACTAATGGTCATGAATTGCTTTCGTAGAATACCTTATGAACACTATCAGGATTCTGTAACCAAGCTTCATATATGTCCTCAATGTAATTGGATGAAGTCCCATTTAAAAACGGCTCCTTTGAAGTGGGATTCTGGCAACGTATTACTGAGGTATACAGGGATTTCCGAGCAACATGTTGTAGTTTGAGCACCTTCAAGGCGCGGGAAGCAAGCATATTACCGACTAGCGATAAAGACAAAATAAATGTGACAAGATAAAGATTTAGAAGCGGCTTGGCAAAAGAATAAAATGCTCAATGTAAAAATGTTTTACGTTAATATAAAAAGGTACAATTTACAGCACTTCGGAGAAGTGGCAGCGAAAATGTAAGATTCGCGTACACCAATTAGTCATGTTACTCAGTTGTATGGAGAGACAACTACCCTTAACAGTTACCAAAACTCGAGGAAAACATTTACCCAATTGTTAATTTGTGGCCTACAAAGAAAATAAATCACCCGCAAAAAACTACACATTAATGGACATCAAAGACACAAGTACACCTAACTGCATTTAAGTTAGTTACCTGCAGTGGCTAGATTATAACCACACCTTAAACGGGAAGGCCGTAAAAAAAGATTGTGTGCTCTTAATTTTGATGAACAATTTACCAGATATAATTTTAACCGCACATGGAAATTGCAGTCGGCAACTATTCAACCACTGTTTTACTACCTGTTTGTATTCTTGATGAAACTAACAGTGTAACTAATTACTTAGTTATCATTACTTGGTTGTTAAATGTACGAGTTTTAGGCAAAATTCATCAAAATACTGAATAACTAACCCAAAATTGTAGAAAGTGTTAGGTTTAAAACTTGGTAATTTGTTTTATTATTCACACTTCCCTGGTTAGTAGTTATCGATTCTCTTACTGGAAACCATAGTAATTCAGCCAAAGGCTTTTACGGAATACTGCACAAGTTAACAGAGATAAACAACTTACAAAAATAAATTATCTTCTGTCACCTCGATGAATACTTATACAGAAACTGGTTTAACTTAGTAACTGATACTGGGACGTATTTTTAAGTCATGTCAAAAAGATACCTTAAGGAATGTGCTTTCATGCGTTTTCTTGTAAGTTAAAGTCAGTTTTCATGGACATATTCCTCATTTTTGTGACTGGTCGGGTTAAGGACAATCGTGCGTTCGCATCCCTTGGGACTCTTGTTCAACAATGCCAATTAAGATTTACCACAGTCCGTTTCGATAGCAACTGTTAAGTGTCCCACAATGGCTTGAAACTTAAGGTACTTACTTTTAAAATGAATACAACAGAAAATAGTAACATATTCATCCCCGCCATAAAACAACTAGGAAAAATCATGGAATTTCAATGGGTTTGCTCTGTAGATCTTGACTTGATGGTCACTACAGGCACCCGGTCAGCAAGAACATAAGGCCCACTGCAAAAAGTGGGTTATAATGAGACATTTCTCTAGAGTAGACACGAAGTAAGCCTCGAAGTTTATGCAATGCGGCGTAAAATGCAGGCTGAGGTAACCTAATAAGGCATAACACGTAAATGAAATGCAGCAGATGTGTATATGATAACATTGTAGTAATACCCATTAAACTCACGTGTCTTTATTGAATAATAAGCAGGTATCTGAAACCAGATCCCGAGGTTAGAAGCTGTCACTTCAGGAAGTACCTCGGAGCGAAATCCAACAATCAGAAAGAGCGCGACGAACACTTGTGACAGGCTATTCAATGTCTCAACCACTCCCAATTTATTCACTTATCGAACAAAATCCAGGAAAATTAAAATATGTTATCTATTTGAAATGAAATACACAGCTTTTGGTTATTTGTTGAAGTAACTCGTCACAAATACGTGAATTCTTAACGTGTATTGACTAGTCCGTCCGCACTGGGTCGATCATTCCTATTTTCCAAAAGGTTTCAGTATTAAGTCTGTTCGTTCGTGTTTAACCCTTCGCCAACTAAGCCTGTATATTGGTTAAGCAGAATTATTCTTAGTTGGGCAGACTGGTCCACTGTTTGTCTTTTCTAAGAGAAGAGAATCCAACTGGGGTAGAGGCTCACTAACAGATGTAAAAGTGTCTGGGCTCCAGGAAATGCCTTATCTTGATGTTTACTCTGGCTGCCTGGGCGTTTAACCAGTCCAACAAGCTTCGTCACTTGTGGGTGCCATGTCATCAGTACTGGAGCCGACGTTAGATCCCTGCTATACGTTATGATAGAGAGCAAGATCCAGTCTATAACAATTCGATAGCTAAATCAAATGAATTGTAGTCAAGATTTGACAGAATAGTTCTATAATATTTGGGCACCGAGTGAGAGGTAGACATTTGTAAAAAATTGTATTTGTAAAATCTCAGCGATATTGAAATGAGTAATTCCAACGTTTCGTTCGGCAATCTGGTCCGAACTTCTTCAGGGAAATTAACCGAAATTAACATAACAGGTTTATATATAAAATGAACATCTTTAGTTTTTAAAATTTTGTCCAATCATGATTTATAAAACAAATATTAACAAATATAATAAACAAAATTGTACGAGTTGTGATCAAAATTTGACCTCAGACTTACAAATATTGATCTACCTTTGTTAAACACTTTAAACACAGTGTGTATATATGTGTGTGTGCGGATAAACAGTTGTAAAACAATGTCTTAACCTCTCCATATTCCTTTTATATATAAACCTGTTATGTTAATTTCGGTTAATTTCCCTGAAGAAGTTCGGACCAGATTGCCGAACGAAACGTTGGAATTACTCATTTCAATATCGCTGAGATTTTACAAATATAATTTTTTACAAATTCGATAGCTAGTATGTAAGAGGCAACAACCTACAGTAGAATATTTCTCCATCCAGCTATACCTCTCTGCATTTCTACTCAGTTCAACACGAATCTCAGTCATTTACACCGATTATAGCTTATTGAGGGTTGCTTGTCAACGCTGAATAGATGGTAACGAAAAACTTCCATTAGTTGGACCTATTACTGAAGTTAGATTTTGGTTGTGAACATGGGGATAAGACGTGCTTACTTGTTATACCTCAGTCTACTTCAGACACCCATCATCACAGATTTTGCAAGTGAAGTTTGTTGCTGATGTCAATGGAAACATTGTAGTTGTTTCACTCAGCTATTCACCGTCGTGGTTATGAGTTTCGCGGACGTAACATAGGGAAGGACTTCTTAGTTAATCACGCCAAATATCGCATTTACTGCGTCTCACTCACTGGGTTTTATCATAAAATTATGTTCGCGTTGTATGTACAATTTACAGGCTTCAACTTTTTGGCCTTGTATTCTACTTTCACATGGATGAAGAATCTTCCGAAGCGACCAGTGATCTGAATGAATGCACTACGTGGTGAAAGAAGCCAATACTCGATTCAGGCATTCAACGAGTCCCAACTGTCATTCGGGCTCTACGTTAAACTCACGGCACTAGAAGTCGAATGTATGGTATGTATGTTCACAGTGAAACCAGCACAAATACGGAATACCCCAGGATTGGTTTTTCAAACAACTAGACCATTGAAGCACCTTACGAATTCCTATGATGAGGTGCAATCATTTCATTCACCAATAAACGGTCGATATCTGTGCCATCGGAGAAAAGTCTGTCTCTGTCTGGATTCAACATAGAACTTGGCACCGAAGTGCAGCAGTTCGAGTTGCCACGTTCCAAATAGCACACAGAGGTAGACAAGAAGATGAGTGAAGAGAATCAATAGAGTTTGACAAGTATGAGAGTGAAACAGAATGGGTAATGGTAGAAAGGAATATGAAAGATTACAGAGACTGAATACATCTGCGCTGGCCATTGACAACGATTTTGAGCCATGTCACCTATTGTCTCCAGCCATTGATTCCTAGAGTCCCGAGGGCCCCAACCCGGAAGTCTGCATCTCCCTACCTGACTCAGTTTAACTGTCAAGGATTTCATGGATTGATGAGGCCATGTTTTTGTTTGGCCACCACTGGCTCTTTTCCAACCTGCACCTATATCAGCTAGCAATGCCCGTCGAGGGAGGCGGTGGTTAGGCATGCGCAGCACGTGACCTAGCCATCTCAATCTGTGTAACTTTATAGCCTCGTCGATTGATTTTCCCTCTTTGCCCAGCACTCTACGCCTAACGTCAACATTACTTACCTTATTAATCCACCTAACGTGAGACAGAGATCGCAGACATCTATGATCGAAAGCAGTCAACCTTTTCATGTCTTCAACTCGTATTGGCCATGTTTCAGAGCCATAGAGAAGGACGGAGCGAACTGCTGAGCAGTACACACGTCCCTTGGTTGATAACCGGATGTCACGCCTACGCCAGAGATGGTGTAAGTCAGCGAAAGCAGCTCGAGCTTTTTGGCTCCTTGCTGAGATTTCGTCGCCAATCAGTCCGTTGGTGCTTATACAACTTCTCAAGTAGGTGAAGTGGTCAACATGTTCTATCACTTCACTCCCTATCACTAAGCTAGGAGTTGACGTAGTCCAGTCCAGTCCTGTAGCAGCATCTTACATTTTGTAGGGGCGAATCGCATGCCAAACATACGGAGATTGCTGCTCAAGGTGTTCAGAAGACTCTGAATTTTGTCAGCATCCTCCCCTAACAGGATTATGTCATCTGCATATTCTAAGTCCATAAGACTATTCCCTGGTAACAAGTCGATTCCTAAGTCGTTACGTTCAGTTAAGGATACTTCCATTAGCATATCTATGATGAAGTTAAACAGGAATGGGGAAAGTGGACATCCCTGTCGGACACCACTGGTTGTTACCAATTCAGATGACAATTCCCCATAAGCCCTTACACGACTACGTGAGTTTGAATAGAGTGACTTGATTAGTGCAATGTACTTTCTTGGCACTCCCTTCACAGTCAGACATTGCCATAGTACCTTTCGATCCACGGAGTCGAAGGCCGCCTTCAAGTCAAGAAATATGCATTTTATAAGATTTTAAAATCAAATACCAACACCCAAAAAAGATAAATAAAAGAAACAGAGTTGCGCTTACATTTTAAACAATGCACCACAGGATATGAAGCATAAAATTGGTGTGTAAAAGAAGATAAGAACAACAGTGTAGTGGTAACGGGGAAAGGAAAACAAAAACTAATGGGACTATTTGTTAGAGTGCCGCAGTAAGTTGATCGTGTCATACCTAACGGATTTCTCATCATATAACAGCTGTGCCAGATATGGTATTGTGGAGTTTTTGTACTTGGTATCCCTAGCATATAGCCTTTTATAGCTGCTTCTGGTTCTACCAGATGAAATGCAAGTAGATAGCTGCGTATAGAGAGGATGTATTCGCTAGTTTCTTACATGACATTATATGTCTATCCGCAATAGTGTTAACCAATTGGTTTAACGATATCCCACTTGCCCTACTGACGACTTTTAGTGCCCTTCCGAGCAAAGCAAATTCTTTCTTAAGTAGTCTAGGAAAGATTAATGGGGAGCAGTAAAGAAAGGACGGGTAGAATGCAAGAATTGACAAACTGAGAAAGCAAAGACTGCTTTATGCCAGACTGCCTAAATTTCCTGATGTAAAACGTTATGGGATATTCACATCTAGTCTCGCCATTATGTCTACAAGTGAACTTCGACCAAATACAAATTAGTTCTTTAATTGTATCGCTAATGCAGAGGATCAAAGAAGTTTGTCAACCCAGTAGAACCTCAGCCTTTTCACAGTTGACGATCAACTTGTTTATCCGCGCAAACTGAAACATATGATGGTGAGCGTAACTTTTAGGGAGATAGCTCGCCAGGTTCTTTGTGGTGTGATTTTATATAATTGTACGCTTTCTGAAAGTCTTCCTTAATAACTAAATCTTCCAGTAGCTGTTAGTTTTATTCTCCTTCCGCTAGCTAAGGAGGAGTTTAGGACAGTCTAGTCAACATGTTAGGTGGGCTGGGCATAGGAGTTAGCAGGTATTGTGGCTAGCGCCCAAGTCTAGGAGCATTCACAGCTTTCATTATAAGTAGTCAGAACTAACTGAAAACGACTCCAAATTCATTCGCGCAGATTAAATGTTTGGTTACATGGGTTTACACATTACACTAATCGGTAAAAGAATAGGTGAGGCTAGAGTTTGAACAACTGTGCCCATGTGATATCTGCCAAATTCTTCGTGACAGTCTGACGGTCCCTGTCAATGTAGTTGAAGATTGAACGATCAATTCATGGTTGTTTGCTCAAAATCAACTTCCCCAATTTTCGCGGAGGCATCAATACGACAGTCATCGTCTCATCGGTCGCTGTTCAGGAAGAAGTCAGGAGACAACTGTCAGAAACCTTAGTTGTGACATTTTTTATGTTGGTGTTACAATAAAGAATACTCGAGTCGCAAATTGATGTTTTGGTTTTTGCGTCCGTTATTACTAAGCGTTTCTGAAAAACTGCAAGGAACAGCGTGAGCCCGAGTGCAGCAAGAGCTGGTCATTAACGGATTACGAGACATGGAGGACGGTTCCTGACAGTGAAGATTCAGATAGATGGTAAGAGTTTGGATAAGCACCATTCATCTGTCCTGGTGCCGGTCAAGTCCTCTTTGAACAAGCAATATCTGGAACGTTTTGGGAATTGGGTCAATTTCAACAATGCCTGGGTCAAAGAAGGGACAGAGCATCGTGGATGCAAACAGGAAAGTAAGTCATGGTGACTTGTCTGTTAATTGCAACGATGTGTCTGATGTTAAGCATGATATGGTTGATGTTACTGTTTCGCCGTTCAGGGATAATAGGAACATCAAACTCCCTAAATTAGAACCACGGTGTTTTGATGGAAACCCGGCTGATTATTTACAATTTGTAAAGGAGTTTGAGATCATGCTAAGTGGCATTTTATCAATTGATGAAATGAAGTTAATGTATTTGATGAGGTATTGCACTGGAGATGCTTCAAGAGCTATGCAGTGTTGTAAGTTTATGAAGCCAAAAGAGGGCTACTACGAGGCTATGAGCATACTACGTCAAAGGTTTGGAAGACCTTCGATGATTGCAGGGAAATTATTCGAGGCTGTTAAGGGTAATGGTGGTCAATTACAGGATGACTCCCAGGCATTCACTGAGTTTTTGGATAATTTGCTGATTTACAAGAATGCACTGATTTCGATGAATCGCACGAGTGACCTCAACTCGAGTTTTATACTAGAAGTAATAGCAAGACGTCTACCTACTCGACTGCAAAGGAAGTGGGTGAAGATAAGCTCCCGTATGGAGGATGAGGGTATCGAGCCAAAGTTTGATGATATCCTGAAACTGGTAAAGAATAGTGTCAATCAATCTATGAGCAAGTTCGCCAGTCTATTGCATCTCACCCCTAGAATAGAGCAGTCTGAGAGCAAAATGAAATCATTGATGACGAAAGGGCCGCAAAGAGGTGGATATCGAGAAGGCTCCATGATGTCTAGTAATGCATATAGACCTAGTGAGTGCAACAGGTTTCGTAGTACATCCTCAACAGATAAGTTACAAGATGCAAGAAAAACACGGTTGTGTTTTACACGTTTGCAAGAGGTGCATACAAAGGTGAGCTGTGAATCAGTGAGCAAGTTTAGTGATAAGCTAAATGTGAAATCAAGGTCTGACTCCGAATTGTGTGACGATAACGGTGCGGTCAAGAAGTCTGTAGTTGCAACTGGTAAGCCATTGTTGAATAGAGTGTCACAGAATAGAGTTACTGCTTCAGAGGGCAGTTCTGACTCCACAAGTTTACAAGGTATTACTAGTCAGAGTGAAGATATAAAACCTTTAATGATTTGTGAGGAGGAACCAAAATTGTCTACTTCTGTTATTAAAGAGTTTGAAAATGATGAACTTGACGGTAATTTGCATATTTGTGGTAATGATCATGATAGTGCAGATTTGTCTTTGGTTGATCATGATGAAATGGAGGGA